AAAAAAAAAAGAAAAACAACGAATGTAACACCGTCAGCATACAAGAATCAGAACCGCCAGCGCAATAAGATACGCCAGCCAATTAAAAGAACACGTCCGCATAAAACTCCAGAAAAAAGGAACCGTCAGCATAGAAAACCACTGTGCCGTATTAATTATATAGTTATAAGCTATTACATGTATGGCCCTCATGCGCTACATAGAACATACAAAAAAACAACAACCATGGCAACACCTTTAGTGAGTGAGAACGTGGACAGGTTTATTGGTTTATTGTGATCTGTATATTTGTCCATGATTCCCGGAATCCCATAGTGTTCCCACTGTGATCACTGGATCTGGAACTGGAACAGTTCCACACACCCGGGGCACACTCTGAGGAATCCACGATGTGATTTGTTTCAGGAAGTTGTTGTAAGCCATGAGAATGGTGAGCTTGGAAGATGCTGTTTGCCAACAAGAAGTCATGGTTCATCGTTGTTCCTAACGATGTTTGGGAAACAATCCTGATTTCCACATGTCAAAAAACGCTTTTGCTAAGCTACCAACTATAGATAACTATAACATGTTATTGTATAACATTCGATTTCCATAACACTGAGATGAATTTCTGAAGGATTTCCTCGCAAACCATTTAAGATCGTTTAAGATTTGTTCGTTGCAACGTGGTGCCACCAACGATGCCAGGCTTATTATGTTGTGCCGACTACAATTTGATTAAGTGTTTCATGTGAGGTTCATTTGATGGAGGCAAATCAAGGAGGTTAGGTCTTCCACGGAAGAACATACAATTTCCCTCAACGTTGCAAGGCAAAGCAAGGATCCTTCTGCTGAGAATGACGTTGTGGCAGTGGAGAGACTGCTAAGAGCAGGGGCACCCAGCTAGTGTTCGGACACGTTCGGTTGCCTTCAAGAGTGCTTGTCCCTTGGGAGCTTTTTGTGGTAAATTGTGGAAAACACCCATGAAAAGTTGATGAATGTGAGCATGAAAGGCATATCTATATATGCAGAAAACCAGAGGAACCCGTTTACTCTTAAGTCGAAGCTAGGACATGGATGACATGGACCAACGGAATCAGAAGGAAAGTAGAGCAATTTCTTGAACTCTTCGTGAGAACATCATGCTTGGCTCATTAACATATGCACCCTCCAACAGATCTTCCAAATGAAGGCTGAAATGGAGACATCGAAAAAACACGGTGGCAGGTGGTGACCTCGTTCTCCTCGGGTATGTATACCTGTGTCACCGGCGGTCCAAGATCCGATGGATGATGGGGCCTGCAACCAGGCCCCATCCTCCACTAGGTCCTGGGTGTTTTGGGGGGGATTAGACGCTATTGGGGCAGGGGATCAGATCCGGAGAATGAGGGATGTGGCGGATCTGAACGGCGAACGAAGGAAGACCGGAGAACGGGTGATTCTCACGTCGCCTCAGACCAGGTGAACTATACTGTCTCAAAGATCTCAAAGTACCTCAGACAACGGGTACAAGATGGTACAAGTACTTGGTTTGCAATAGGGTCATGTCCTATTTTCTAAGGTACTTCAAGTCGGGTCTAGGTACTTCAGACTCAAGATGAAAACAGTGGATATTTTTCCCGCTCGGCTCAGGACTTCCTGTGTGCAGCGAGCAGCTCCTTTTGTCGCGCCTCGGCCGAGTTTCTCTGTGAGATGAGGAAGGACGCTACATCCAAGGTGCGTGAAAGACTATCCCTCACTTGGACTGGGTAGGTCATCATCCCCAAACGCCCAAAACACCGGCTTGGAGCAACTCTAAAATACCTGCAGGACAGACCATCTGTACCGAAAATTGGGACATGACCCGAAACAAAGAAACAAGGTACGGCGGCTCACAGGCCCCAAGGTCGACTCTGAGGTATGATCGACTCAAGACGTTGGCCCCTCGAGTGCTGTGTGTTGTGTACTCGTCGTTGGGGGTGAAACGGGCTCCATCTCCCTAGAGATCCAGTCGTACCGAACCTGGCACCTAACAGGACAGTGTCGAACACATCACTTTCTGAGAAGGTGCTTGGATCCGTATAGGATCTCGTTGTCATAGCTCCGTGTCACTTCTTTGCATCGATCTTCGTGTTGGTCTGACTGGAAGTTGGAGGTTTTCTTTCGTCCCGAGTCCCTACCTGAGGTATGCAAAAGGGTTGGAACAAACAACCTTTGTCAACCTGTATAGCGGATCCGCTTTAGATCAGAGCTTTGACCTGAGACCTGAATTTTGCAAACTCCATCAGAAAGCCGGCAGATTCCAGCAATCTGGTAGATCCCAGCAATCAAGCGCGTTTAAACCTTCCGTTTGATTTGATTTGCCCACTTGAGGGACTCACTCAATCTTTGCTAGCTAATGACGCACTGCTTAGCAGATACCTCTCGATCTGTGGCATCAAAGTCCAGCATGCAAGCTTCAGAACGTTTTGACCGGCCAAATCAACCAAGAGCAGCGGAAACGGGTCAACCAAGAGCGTGACATTTGCACCCATCACGGCTTTGCGCACCCCGAACCGCGAACGCGTGACCGGCGGAGAAAACGCGTGACCGGCGTCCCCGTGGTGGCGAGGTAAGGCCATGTCCGAGGGCGCGAGCTGGACGGACTTCGCCAACGTGGCCAAGGCCGTGGCGGAGGACGGACGAATCGCATCGATCGACCCTTCGGCGACGTGGGCGCACCAGGGATCCAAGCCTGGCACCTACATGAGAGTGGTTGTCAAACACATGGCCCGAACCTGAGATTGAAGGTACTTACTTGGATTCCGAACCAAGCACCACTTGATTTCATATAACCTTGAGATGCCTTGATATGCCCAGAACAGCTTGTTAAGTCCCAACTGGGCTCCGTTCGGCCGCCCCCGAACCGCTTCGATGGGCGGGGTGGGTGGGTGCTTTTGGGGGTCCTCCCCTATACCCTGAGGAGCTGGGCCGTTCGGAGTCCTGGGGAGTTGGACCTGAAGGTTTTAGGCTACAAGATCAGGTCCGTCCCCCTTTTCAAGGGTCTTGGAGGGCGAACAGGTGTAGTGACAATCTGTTGGGGGCCACCGTGAAGTAAAGACATGTGACTCATGTGACTGTCAGACAACCCGGGTTGCCCGGTTGGGTTTTGGGGTAGCTTGGCCATGTTTAGTCGTTTATTCTGTTTATGTTCCGTGGAAATATAACAATGAACCAATATGGCACCTTTGCAATGGCAAAGATTTGGCGGGATGAGGTGTCTGAGCTCATGCAAAACTAAAAAAGCTGGTGAGATCTTGGAATATTTGGAATGTTTGCTATCCCATGGCCTGGCTTGCAAGCAGACCCTCACACCAGCAGAGCTTATCTGCCATACGATGTGCACAGCAAGGGGAAAGCAATGGCTGCTATAGAGTTTAGCTACAGCAAGCTGACACAAAGTGTCTGCTTTGAGCTGCCCAAAGAGAAGGTGAAGAAGGAGCTCGAACAATGCTTTAGCAAAGACGAGCAATGGCATGTTGGCTGTTTGCATTGGCAATGGAACGTACATGCCGCATGCCTGTGAGCGCACGCCATTCATACAACTGCCTTTTTGAAGGCAACTGTGCAAGAGTGCAAGACACTAGATGAAGAGATAGCTGCAGGTGGCTGTTCGTCCTTTGACATGATGTCAAGCAAAGGTGATGACCCTAAGGAGATGGTTGTGCAAGGATGGCTGTGGACATGCATCCAGTCTGAATACCTTGATGTAGATCAGTTCCATTCACTTCCATCGTAAGCGTATGTAAAATTTTGACATGTGTGCATCAGAAGCTTCCGTATGTTCGACGCAGGCGAGATGCAGCGACGCAAGGTGGATCATCACCCGACGCCAAAATTATGGATATATGGATTTTTCATGATTTCCAAAATTACGTCGACGGGTACCAGTATCTTTTTGTGAAACCTTAGGACAATTTCAATGCTTCTTTCGTGATTCCGTCCTGCTTCTTTGCGCACATGCCTGGCGATGGGCGTGTGATTGTATCATTTACATTCGTGTATACAGTAGAGCGAAGACTTCTATACATGCGGTGGCAGAGTCCCCCATGCAAGATGTTTTGTGACCCTATTCGATCCAACGGCTACTTGTCGAAGATGTCGGCATTTGGGATGGGTGGCTCAGTTAAATAAGGGTGCAGTCAAGGAAACATAGTCTGCTTTTGGCATTGTTTCCTATCTATGTGGTGTAATTATGTGTGAGCAGCCTGTGAAATGCATTCAGTCACATGGTGCACATGTGGCATGCATGTGAGCATGTTGCCATGTAGCTTTTGCTTTGTTTGCGCACATGGTGTGACTTTGCTGTTTGCAGAAACAGGCAGGAAACACTTAATTAAGTTGTTATTCAACATGCGGGCAAATTTTGGGTTTGAGTCTTCCATGACGAGCCTTTCAAGGCGACACAACCACCCCAATAATCTCGCAACTCCAAATAAAACATCTCACATGATGAGCCGTTATAAGGCAAAGATGCAAACCCAGTAAGGCAAGGTGGAGCACAAAGTCAAATCATTGGACTGTTAAAAAAACACTTATGTGTGTGTGTTTTTGCAAACCATTGCTTTCTAACAGCTGAGCACCAACCAAAAAAGGACATGTTGTTTGGTTTGGTCATGTTATTATTGAAAAAAGTTTTTTTTTTTTTAATTTTTTAATCTAAACAATATAATATTACAAATAGTTAGCCAAGTACGTGGCTAAGTACTCAACTAAGTCCTACCTAACCACTTAACATATAGGAAACCACTTAACATAGTTAGGAAAGTTAGCCAGCTAACTCACCTAACTAGTTAACATAGTTAGCATAGTGGTTAGTTTTTTAGCTACGTACTAGTTAAGTGGCTAATGTAGAGACATGAGTTAGACTTAACTACCATTTAGAACACACTTAGCATCAACTTAGGATGCTTTTGGTATCTTTGCTATGTCAGTAGCAAAGGCCAGATCATCTAAGTACCCCCAAACCCCCAGAGTTAAAAGACAACCCTTTGCTACGCATTGGGGATTTTCTTTTTCTGCAGTTGTTGTTTTCACACAACAGGAACACGTCCTATGCGGAGCTTAACAAGGTTTTGGGGCCCAATGATGCCATAGAACATCAATGCTCCCAACCACTCACGTAGGCAAAACTCCGACCTAGAACTGCTGCTGACCTGGAACTGCTGCTGCCGAGTTCTGCCAAGCTGGAGTTTCCGTTCGTACCCCGGAAAATGGGTACAAGATGGTACGTAGAATGAGTTTTTGATAAGCTCACGTACCATCTTCGAGGTTACGAGTTCCCGGGGTCTTAGTGAACAACTCGCTGGCGAGCCGGCGACGGCGACTGCGACGGCGACGGCTTGGCGAGCCGACGTCGGAGAGCCAGACCTCGGGTGCCCTGCCGCCGGTGAGACGGACATCGCAGGAGACCCAGGAAACCCAGGAACTGACAGAACTGGAGGCCCTGCACCGTCCGTTTCGCGTGTGACGGGTTTGTCTCCCCATGCGTGGATCTTCCAACTTTGCAGAACTTTTGCCTTCCAACATTGTCATTTAAAGCAAAAAACAATGTATAATAGTATATAGTAAAAAGATCTAGATGATCCATATATAGGTGTGCAGACTCCATGTCTACTTGTCTACATTAAATGTGTATACCACCCGTGAACATGCCCAGTCCCACACTGTCATTTTAGGGGGGTTGGATTTCCTGTTTGCAACGTGATTCTTTTGACTCGGCAGTAGAGGTATGGGTCTCCAATGACAGCAGAGGTATGGGTCTCCAATGACTGTAGAGGTATGGGTCTCCAATATTGACTGTACTTCCTACCCAGGACTCAGGAAGTACAGTGGACAACCTATGATAAGAACCTTCAATGTTTTTTTAAAGAACTGGGGACACCCCACTCAACGAATTAGGTGGACAGAAATTTGCTGGCGAACCTCTACTTTCCCAAACTGAAGGAGTCGTACCCAGATGTTTCACATCTTCTTTACGTCACCGTCAGGTTTTGTGGAGAAGTAGATAGGGAAGATGTTGGGGTACCCCAACTGAGTATCTACTGCACGATTGTATATGTCATTTGCATTTCAGTTGTCATATTTGACATGTAACGTTCAGGAGCCAGATGACGAGCAACAAATACCACCTTTCCCAGCCATCAGACTTTGACACCAACCCAGACGCTCCATGCATGGAATATTCCCACGCATTGATCCCGGGTCAACTACTCCAATGATCTACTAGAATAGTTTCACTTCTAAATTCAGGACAATGATTCCAGTATTATAGTATAGATGATTGCATTGTCGTTCTGCTTCAATGCGGAACGATGTCCAACACCACGATGTTCAGCGATTCGAGACGTGATGGATCCGCTCTTTTCGCTCACCCATCGGGCGAGGACTCTGAGATGAATCACGACGCAACATGTCTTCTGCCCGAAGGATCCGCACCCTCAAAAGCTAAGGGGGTTGGTTCGGGTACAAACCCTTGTTATAGAGGGTTTCGACCTCTTCTAAGGAGGGTCCGTTCGGATCCTCAGGGTGATCTTCCCGAATCCCTCCTTTGCAGAGCGGACATCAGCGAAACGAACCCCAGGGACCCTGCAGACCCGAAGGGTCAGGGTCGCGTCGCATGGACAAACATCACAGAGATTAGGCGTTGGAGTCCCTCAACGGATTTGAGACCACAGACCCCTGCATATGAGGGTCCATGAGTGTTTGGGAAAGAGCAAACCTCTCTTTTCACATCACAGAAACCCTCAGAGGCGCACTTCAGAGCCCTGCACTTGGAGCCCTTGTTCAAGGCGTGCGCCTTACGGCGCGTCGGACGCGACGCGCCGAGCTTGGCGGTGGAGCGTTGGTGACGGTTGGTGTTTTCTTTTGGCTTCCCAGCGGTGCTTGCCACCCCCGGGTCGCGTATATACGTACCCTAGCCCTCCAGTGGTACCTTCTGAGAAGGTGTTTGGGGGGGGTTGGAGGGTCTAAGTACCTTCTGAGCAGGTACTTGGAGGTGTAGGGGTACACAGCTCTACGTCGTTTCAGTCAAGTCGACACACGTCCCTCGCGAGCCTCCGGAATTGGTCACCTTTCCGCCGTGGCCGGCCCGATGCTTGTGCCTTCAGCTGGCTTGGTGGGCTCTGCTTGGTTGCTATAGGAAAAGGCTTTGGAGCCCTCAGCTGGCTTGATATGGCTTTGGGTCAAAACCAGCAAAATTCTAGGACCCGCCCGGCCCGGGCAAGGTGGGCAACAAAAGGTGCGTTGTGTTTTTTTTTCCATTGCACTTGTGAGCGAGTCTTCCAAATTCTAGGCAGGTTGGAGCTAACAGGTCCAAACCGCTAGGACTCCAGTCGTACATGTCGTACCTTCGTTTCGGTTCGGTGGGACTGGGGGCCCGGGATCGTTTCGGAGGTACGACTGGAGCCCCAAACGGGCTGAGTCTGTTTGCGGGCAGCGTCTCCCGGGCGACCCAAACACGATGCGCCGGAGAATGCGCCGGACACCAAAACAACCTTCAACAAATGGTCCCGCATAAAAAAGCCCATGTTAACTAGCGCGTACACATACGTACATGGGTCTGGTGAAAAGGGCAACCAACTGCACCCAGACTTGTAGAATGTAGACCACCCGAGTCAAGGGGTCACTTCCAGGTTTACGAGAGGCTACAGGTCTACACACCCGCCCTCGTGTCCTCTTAAGGTGTTAAACAACCTACAGGTTGGTTTTTCTCCCAGAATTCAGTTTGCCGAAATCGCAGGTTAGAAGCCCCATGATGGGGTGTTTTTTCATCCAAAATCTGAGATGTTATCCGAAGCTGGGAAGACAAGACCATTGAAAACACATCTTTGCAGTATATAACTTAATATATTGGCCATTCTGGCAATTCTTCATTGATTTTTGGATGGCTTTTCCCACCAATATGCTTGTCCTGTGAAACGACCCCGGTGTTAGCATGTTTGTTCCTTCAGGGCCTTGAGCATTTGCAGCGTGGCGAAGCAAATGCACTGCAGCAGCTGCAAGAGGCGGCCAAGATGTTGGACCTGGACCGATATGAATGGGGTCTATCCGAGTCTATCCTAACCTGTAACAGTCAGTCAATAAGAACATCACTATTTCAGAGATGGATGGATGTCGGCCTGCAACCAGGCCCCATCATCCACTGAAACCTGGGTGTGACCGGGATAGACCCCAGATATGACGACGCTTGGTCTTCTGCTTAGAACCAAAGGGCTCGGGTGGGGGGTGTGACAGCGAACTTAGGGGTCATCCTATTTGGCCATTCGTTGAAGACCCTTTGGGTAAGTGTTCGGAGCTTCTCACCAATCCCTTTGGTTTTGAGGGACCGGGAAAGGCCTGTGAACGGAGCGTTCAGGCGCAGTCAAGTTCTTAGCGCATTGGACCCATAGCTCTGGAGCTCCATGGACCTGGGGCGCCTTTTTGGAATCCTCGCAGGAGAACATGCAGCTGAAAAATGTCTTTTGATGGTGAGCTTCTTTTTTTTGGGAATGGTCCCATCAACAGCCGTAAAAAAACATCTCTGGGCCAGGGGTATTCGTGTCGAAGCAGGGTGAGAGAGCCACAAGTCTCCGAAATTCAACACCTCCCCCCATAGAAGGTATAACAGGGGTTTGAGGGGCCTCAAAACCCTGGTGTTTTGAGGGTCCGGATCTATATTTTTGGGTGGATGCATTTCAGCACACGAGAATTTGGTCGTCGGTATGTTGATCCACTTCTGACTTGTGCCGCATATGATGTGTGCTTCCTTATGTGGGTGAAGTAAAGATGAGTCTTCCCGTGGCATAGATTAATTGTTGCTTGTCAAATGAGGATCATGAGTCAGCTGTTTGATTGAGTTTGGGGTCTAATCTGCGAACAGTTGCCAACCGTACCAAAGGCCTTTAAAGCATTCCGATCTCCAACTGGTCAATTGGTATTGTGGATGCCACAAGTGCATCTTCCCCAGTAGAAGGAATTGAACGATTGCGGGTTCGATTCGCTTGAACCTCGGAGCCTGGGGTGCCCGGAGCCGGAGGTTCGGTCGGAGCCGGGCTACGAGCCCGAACATCACTCATCACCCAAGACCCCCGGCCTTGGTGCTTTCTGCTCCATGGTTTCTGCCCAACCTTTGCTGTCCAAACGCTAAGCTTCTTGCCAGGTCCTAGATGAAGCCTCCACTGGTGCATCCCGAGACGGTCCGGGAGGCGGCAAGCCATGCTGTGCTAGCCGTGGCCATTGGACACCCGCTTTAGTCCGATACCGGTACCATATGGACTCTAGACTGTCAGACTCTTTTTTGGTCTCAGAGGGTTCTCGGATGTGAGTCGTCGTCGAGGCAGTCGATGATCCATCACCCTGGTCATGGTCCATTTCAGGGTCGGATTTACACGGTCAAAGCCCACGACAAATAAAGGTGTTCACCTACAAAAACAGTTTTCTTTTGCGATGGAGAACCAGCTTTTTGATGGTTTGTAGGTTTTCTTTCGGGGTAGAGTCTCAAAGCACCTGATCCGATGGTTTGGGCACAGGGCTCCGTACTTGTTTCTATAAGGGGCATGTCACGTGTGAGTCATGTCCTGCTTGATCGGTACGAACTGGAAGGATCCAGGTAGCAATGAACTCAAAATCCAATGGCACGTGGTCATTGGTTGGTGTGCTCTTCAAGTGTGGTGATTGGTGGGCGCTGTGCCCTTCCACCAAATCATTCGATCTCACATCAGTCGATCTTTCGGTGGATCGCTGCTAACAATATATATATCCCCTCTAAGAACCGGCCCTTTGACTGAGATAGCGGTCGTTGTTGTTGTTGTGGTGGTGGTTGTGGTGGTGGTGGTGGTGGTTGCTGCTGCTGCTGCTGTTGGTGTTGTTGTTGTTGTTGTCGTTGTTGTTGTTTTCATGTATTCATGTTTTCATGTTTTCTTCATGCGCCGCACAGGCGTGCCCCACCTGGGCGAAGTCTACTCGGCGGAGGCCTTGTGCCACCTGGGGCCGAAGCCTTACTTGCGACGCACGAGATAGAACGAGCGCTCAGAACGTGGATTGGGCAGACCTGCACGAGCATGAACTTGTTGAGCCGGTTTGGATGGCGAAAGGCGATACCTTGAGCTCTTGTCGCTTATAGGAATGATAGCAGCTTTCTTTAAGTTTTAACATGTGAATTTAAGCCGAGCCCGCTTAGATGAACCGCCCATCACAGCCCAGTTCGACTCACTCCAAGTTCGACCCAGGGTGCAGTTCCAGGCCCAGTGGATCGCATGGGACACTTGGGGATCACTTCACCTACAACAAAGGATCGCTTGGAAAGAGGTGTTTCCCTACACCTCCAGGTCCAAGTACCTCCTCACGTTCGGTATGACTGGACCAACATGGCACCCACCGCAGTCCCACCTTCTCAGCAGGTACGACTGGAGGCCTAGCATTTGGAAACTGATGGAGCTTGGAGGTCCGATCATCTGTGATCACCTGATGGGACACCCCATCTTTCACAAGAACTGGTGACTGGTAGAAAGCTGCGTCTCGTCAGCTTCTGGATGAGGGTTTCACCCCACACGGACTTTCCTGGTGTCTTTTTCCGTCGGGCCCTGCACTGGCGCAGCGAGGTTGAATCCCCGCTCGGCCGAGGGCGAGCCGCCTTGGCGGGGGGCGTTCAGATGCATTCAATTGGGCTTTGGTGGACAGGTGGATGTGGCTCCAAGAGTTCCAATACCGCTCTGCTCATCGGAAAAAAGGGAAACCATTGGTTCCAACAGGACTCCGACTCAGACCCTCCAGGTTTGATAGGAATTAATTCTCCTGGTTTGGATGGAATGCATGGATGGAAGAGTTGCAGACACTTACCCCAACTATTCCATACGTTGAGCGTTTGGGAATGGAACAGGGTTGGTTCGTGTCCGGACCCGGACGCGAAGAGGTCGGGTCCAAGGATCCGACCGGGCCCGAACTGATCGTTCATTTGCCATACATGATCACACCCATGGAGCCCAGAGATGGATGACCTTCTGTTTTGATCGGAAACGACCCATGTTTTTGGGTGGTGTGTGGTCCAGCATCAAGGTCACTTCGATCATGAATGCGCCGTTCAGCTGTTCAGTCTGCCAAGCTGTTCTTGAGATGTGAAATACCAGCGGGCCAGCTGTTCGGATAGTTTGGACATGTTTGCACACATCGATCTCTCCATGTTTTTGGAGGTTTCGATGATCAGTGGCTGCAGTCTTGATTCATAAAACATCACAAAACTTCCCCCATATGAAGAGGTTGTCCAAGCATGTCCAATCCATTCTTTTTTTTAAGTTGATCAAGAATCAATTCTATATAATTACTCATATAGTAATCAGCGTGGAACGTATTGGCCATATTTGATTCATCGCGGGTGCTCTTACAGTGTGTGTGTGTGGACGGTTTGGCTTTTGGGGTTGTATATACGTTGTGTTCATGGACGCTGCGCGAACAAAAGTCCCCAAACTGCCTGGACGACCTGTTTGTTTCGGCATGAATGTGGCATGAATGTGAAGAAGCTGAGTCAGGAAATACCATGTTTAGACGTCGCAAAACCAATTCAACACTATGGATGTGAGAAGGAATACTATGTCATCCATGTTGAAACATGCAGGCATTAGCTCCAATTGACTACGAAGACAAGACCACACATCAAACCTGTTCAAAGGACAACTTTGCAAACAACGGCTACAGAAGTCCCTCGCCTAGGAACATGTGAACAAGTGGTGGCTAATTTCAAGATATTCCTGCAGAGGTTGATGTTCTGATGCCAAATCACACAAGCGTGCACACCAGGATTCCAGATGCATGTTGTTTGCTTCCCATTGAACTTTAACATATTGAAACATTGAAAGAAGTTCGACAAGCTCCGTGGCAGAACCATTCCCCATTCCCCAAACTTTGCATTCCTTGAGTCCATCCCGCTTCGCCATGGAAGGGAAACCGCCGCCTAATCGTGCCCATGAGTCCTCAGTGCAGTGGGTGGAACTTCCAAGTGCCGAGTATCCTGGTTTTGCTGATCAGATGATTTTTTTGATGTTCATCCCGTGGCATCAGGAATAATATGTGTCGAATTGTGTTAATGATGTTTAAATATGTTAACCAGGACCTTCAGTCAGTCGTGACCTCTTTGAAGTCTGTATGTTGTTTCCCTTTTTATGGACGAGTTGTGATCGTCTTCGATCTCAAGTTCTGAGATATCAAGACTTCAGGTCCTGGAAATATGTTTTTTGGGGTGCCGTTTTCTTTAAATCCAAGGTATGATCCCTGTGGAGAAGCGACTCACCAGGCCGCCGGTCGTGCCCGGTCCCACGGTCGGTTCCACGGGGTTGGGACCTCGGCGGAGGTCACAGAGACTGGGGTGATTGGAAGATATTGAAAGAAGGTTAAGTTGTTCAAACGCGGGGGGGCGGAAGAAGTCTCCAGTTTTCAAAGGTGGAATGGGAGTTAAGAGACCTAGCAGCTACTGTGTCTTATGGCGGTTTGACAGGATCAACCACATCGTGTCAACGGTCAACATGTTCGGATTCTTTCTCCCAGTAATGACTGACATGAAGAGACCAGACTTGTTCAATTCAGTTCAGAGGGTTCATACAAACTCATATACAATATATTACAATATCATGATAATACCATAATATTAAGTATGCTGACCTCTGATTGATAAATGTACTGTCAACTATTGAAATTCTTAGGAAACCCAAAGTAAAGTGCATCCCAGGTTCCAATATATATATATATAAATAACTATATAAAATACAATGACATGTCCCCTTACTAAAACAAATATATTAAAATAAAGGTGAATTAGTATTACAATTAGAAATGAAGTGGAATTGAATTTGAATGAAATAAAAAGTGCTAACTTTATTTCGGGGTCCCTCTATTAATCATAGGTCAACATTGCGTGTATATATAGATATCATTATAGCGGCTATGACTGACCACATGATAGACAAACCACATGTGACATTCATGACTCCAAGTGTAGACAAATTCCCAGTCAACATGATGTCAGAGCTGCCTGCAGAATTCAGCCGTCCGATTCCAGGTTTTGAACCAGGCGCGCCCCTTTTCCGGCTACAACGCCTTTCAGGATCTCGTGCCTGAGCTGAATGTCGTTTTTGTTTTCTGGTGGCTGTTAAAGGCTTTTGTTATTCCTTCCTCACTGAATGTTTGATTTATTCAAACACCTCTATGCAAAAGTCGGTGCCACTTGAGTTCAAGCGTGTGCGCATCACCAAAAGCTTCCTTTACATCTTTTACCTTCTTCATAAGTGACGCTTCAGTTGAAGTTTATCAACTTTAAACGTGAATCACCTTTCTCGCCGAGTGAAGTGAGCACCCCAAGGCACTGCAAGAGGGCGTGGCGCGGCACGGTGGTCGTTGGGGCTACGGAGTCCTACAACACTTGGGCGCCAAGGTCGGCAGTGAGGAGCCCGGAAGTTTGCGCCGCTTCGCCGCCCGTGAGGTGCGCCATGGCGGCCATTGGGCAGCTTCTTCCGTGAAATAATTTAGGGTTCTTGGCCCATATCCTCAGAAGGTGGTTTTATCCCCCTGGCACCCACCCCAACCACCTTCGAAACGGAGACAGTTGGAGCCGATAACCAAACTTTGGAGTCCCTACGGTCGCCCTAAGACTCAAGAGCTTCGACTCGGACCCGACACCTTCCGGGTCCGGACGTGGGGATACCCGAGTATACCCAGTAAACTGGGTGCCCAAACGTGGCTGAATCTGAAGAGTTCTGCTTTGTTGGTCATGGAAGTGGACAATGGCCCCTTGGACCATCTTCCTCTACAGGTTGTGTTCCACTTCGATATTTCCAGGTAGTGTACCTACACGGGTGAATGAGGGTCAATGTAACAATGTAGGTCGACCTAACATCCCATTTGGAGTGTGAAAGGGGTTCCTTCAGAGGGCGCTAGAACGGGGCGCCCAGAGGGTCTCAATCCACTCACTGGGCGTTTGGATTCCAAGATGCTCAGTGCTGCCCATGCTGGTATCGACTGTTGGCTCACATTCACCAGGCTTACTGTTGCGAGATATTTATACCAGGAGTCACAAAGGGGTGCCTATTGGAGGTTAGGGGTGCCCATTATCCACTCACTGGATGGGAGTAAAAACCACCCCTTTGTGAC